TGCGAATGTTTTTGCCAATGAAATGATTAGCCTGTTGCAGTTGTATTCTATCAGTTGTCACTAATTACAACTATCATTTACCAGAAATCAGCTATCACTATGAACCACTACTAACCAGATTTACTTGGAGGCCGTCGTCAGTTGTGGTGTTTGGTCTGCACCCGACACTTTCTGGCTTTTTGAAGGGGAGGGTACTTCGTGAGACCTTGCCCACCCATCCCACACTTGACCCGGTCCTCCAGGCGGATCCCGAGGAGCTAGGGAATTTCGTGACAGACATACAGAACGACAGACAGACGACAGACGACAGACGAAGCGCTTTATAGTAAGTAGGATGAAAAACTTATGGAATCCGCATCTAACCAGTGGGAAGCTCCAGTTCGAAGATGGATGCAATTCGTATGGATGGCTGAGTTATATACAGGGGTGGCCAAAAAAAAGACACTTTGCCCATGGCGCACATCATCGAACTTTTCGTCGCACAGGGAGCCGATGTTAATGAAAGTTTTACGGCGGAATATTCCTTAGGTGTTCCCCCGTAAACAGAAGCAGGCCCTCCTTCACTGCCCCCACCGTCTTCAGAATATGACGTCATCTGCCGCCACCGTCGAGCTCAACGAGGCTTACCGTAATCGCTCCGGCCTGAAGCTGCTACATAATTTCTTCAATGGATTAACTGTTGAATAGCTTCCCAGAGACATTAGCTGTGACTATGCAAAACCGCTTTTGACCAGCGTTTCAGGGACGTCGTAATGGTCTATGGTACCTCGACGACCTCGTTGAGCTCGTACCGTGAACCATGTTTCCGTGGGAAAATCTTCTGATGTCGTCGGTGTAGAAGGCTGTCATGTAACTTTTAGATAGATTAGAATGTGCTCTTCAATATGAGTTGGGGCAGTCGATTTGATTTCGGCAAAGTGTGATTAATGCTGTCTGAAATGTGGAGTGTCTCTTTTTTTTGGCCACCCCTGTACTCGATATCCGAAAGTTGGGGTGGGTGTGTCACCGGAAGTGACGTGCACTTGATAGAAGCTATGTGGATAAGCTGCTTCCAACATACATCGCTGGATATCAGCAAAGCATGCTGGCAACAGCTTATCCACGCAACTTCTATCACTTCCGGTGACACACCCACCCCAACTTTCGGATATCGACTGTATATCAGCAACAAGTTTTACTTCAAGCGCTTTCAAACAGCCCTTAGGTAAACGTTGTCAGTTAATATTATGCAAAGACGATGGCAACTATATGATTCTTCCGTATCTTTCTGCCAACATATTCTTGCTAGAATCTGGAAGCATGCTCTTCAAACTTGGGATGTTCTCAAGAACTAGGCGACATTATCGCCAGTGGGTTAAAGGGTAGGTATTTAGTTTCCAATATTCAAATGAAAATTTCATATGGTCATTCCAAAGAAACTACAATAAATAAAAGTGATGAATTATATGTGAATGACAATACTATGCCTCTAAGAGGAACCAATAATGCAAATACGAATATCAATCAATAAACAGCAGTAATGGAATGATATTAAAAGTCTCGTACTCACTTTCGTCGTCGAACTCAATCAGAGAGTACTTGCCTAATCGAAGGATATTGGGGCCTTTCCAGCGAAGTAATCACTGAATTCACAACTTGGGCAAGATTGGAAGCCGCAAAACTCATCGCTGCGCTGTTCTCCACAGCAAAT